AATTTAGACATTATCAATCATGTGCAACCGTATAAACGAATTCTTGATGAAAATCTTTGGAATGATATAACAAAAAGATCTATATATCCAAATGAACAAATAAATTCAGTAATTCTTCCAACTCGTAAGGTTTTAACATCAACATTACCGCCCAGAATAGTACTCATAATAGTAGAACCATTTTCAACAATGATTAGTAAAGCTCATATGGCCGAAATTGTTTCGTGGGTCGATAAAAAAGTTGATATGTACTCTACTGAAAATATTCCATATAATGTTAAATTACTTATTCGTGGAAGCAGGGATGGATTTTCTTCAACATCATTTTGGAATTCATGTGATAAGCAAGATAATGTTATTGTAATCATCAAAGTTAAAGGCAGTGATGAAATTCTTGGAGGATATAATCCTATTGGATGGGATAAACCAGAAAAAAGTTATTATTACAAGAATTGTAATGAAAGTTTTATTTTTTCATTGAAAAATAACACTATTCAAACATCTATTTTGAGTCGTATAAACCTCCTACGGCATGCAATTTATTGTAATTCTAATCATGGACCGAATTTTGGTGGCTCTAGTCTTGTTTTGATAAATAATTTTGATCAGGATAATCAATGTTATTGTTATCATTCTATATACGAAAAATTAATTAGAAATGCATCTACATATATCAGAGGTTATTCATTTTTTTCTGTAGAAGACTATGAAATATTCCAAATTCATCAAAAGAATATATAAATTTTCATTGTTAGTTATAGAAATCGAGAGTTTTTTTAACTTGAACTCAGCATAAATAGATTCAATAATTTTTGTTTTTTATATTTTGAATAAAAACATGTAGATACCAATTATCGAATGGGTTAATATGCTTTAGTATAATTCATATCATCCTATTATCTTTGCTTCGCATACTTAATATTCCATTTTTTTACGATATAAAGGGCTATCAGTCAATTAAGTTAATTGACTTTATAAAAAAAAAAACATGGAATTGCAAATTAAAATCGGAAATATATAGTTACATAAATTGCCCAAATCCAAACACTCGTGGCCTCAATCCTTCGAAACTCAATACTTACGTATAAAATTTAATTCATGATCAGCACAAAACGGTTAGCATACAAACTAGATATTAAATTTTCTAAACTATTTTTAATAATGTTAAGGAAACGAAACGAATTATTAAACAGATTTTTAATGTTTCTAATAAGGATGAATTAATTCGACTCCATCTTGAATTAGTTGTTCGGATTGGATCACATAAAAACTTAATCGAGTCGTATCCAGTTCCTTTCGAAACACTATTGATTACTATACCAAAATATTTTTATCTTAAGTATTTACTTCAAATATTTTGGTTTAAAAGTAAAATTGCAAACAATGCTACTATATGTTGTTGTGAGCTAAATTAAATGTACAAGACGTTTCGCTTTGGTTAAATTATTTCGTTGATGAAATCATTTTTAAGTAATTTTGCCCACAACACTGTTTAGTAGTGATTCTATCAAAATGAATCAATCAAACACAGACTTAATAATTGTCACAGCTCAAGCTGGAGATGCCTAAAACTGTATTTTAATA